CCAGGACATCCATTAGGCAAGAAAGACTTTCTCGTCCTTCCCTTCCTCTTTTCCCTCTCCCGTATTTTCCTCCCTACACATGGTAGGCCAAAATATGCTATGAGAAAATACCTCTGAACCCTTACAGTTAGAGAACACCGGGTGTGGGACAAGAGAATCGTAATATGCCACGCCGGTTGGTGCGGCGAACGATTGCTCGCCACCCGCGCCCGACAGACCAACTGTCCTGACTGGCCGTTTAAGTTTTGCAGTTACACAGGGACGGGAAAGCTCGATAACGCCCATTGTGGAGTCTTGTCTTTGCTAAAATTCCTATGAGTTTCGCCGATGCAGTGGAGAGACTGATGCACATCGTGAATTTGCAGCTCATGATAGCACGCCGCGCGCGACAAGGCGACAAATAACGAGTGTCTTGTCCAACTCCCAAGAACATCCGGTTGACAGTAGCCCTGTAACCAGAGAATCGATGAATCGGAAAACGCGCGAAAATGACAACAAACATATCAACTGATATCCATTTCACCAGTGTCGCAAAGTATGAACGTTATCAGAGTGCGTTCATACTTCATGCAAAGTATGAACGCTATCAGAGTGCGCTCATACTTTGCATGAGCGCTTTGGTTAAGCAGCGTTTTGAGCGACCGTGGAAGGGCAGGTATCGACTTATCGCACGTCTAGAATGTACTTTCCAAGCAGTTCAAAACGTGGCCTACGCTTAAAACGTTGGTGTACGCTCAAAACGCTGACGCAAACTATGAACACACTCACAGGGCTGTAGTGAAACTTTTGCTGATCGACGAAAAGTTATGATTTCGGCATCCCACCGGACACTGCTTGCAAAAATAGTGATACGATCCGGTAATTCTGAGTCATATGCCGACGAAGTCTCATATTAATCACCGATGTTCACTGACTACTGGATACTCCAGAGATTAATTCCAAGACACCCAGAAACTTCAGAAATAGCTCTTTTGACTTTTCAATTTCAGCAGCAGCACAAGGTGCCTCGGGAGGGGCCACTCTCCAGCAAGGACAGCCACGTCGCATTCTGACGTGGTCGATGAGGTCTTGTCATGTTGTCACGGTGAGAGTGCAAACAAGCAGACACGGTCTGTAATGTGGTTCATACTTCGCGAACTCTGTAAACTGTCGCTCAACCCGAGCTACTGTAACCCACGGCGCTCCAGCGCCAATTGTAGGACTTCTGGAGGTAGTAATTCATACACACCTTGCTCCCTTCTCTGTTATGCATTCTTGCTCCCTCGCTAAATTTCATAACCACACCATTAACCTTTGCTTGATTTTAGGAGACAAGCGGGAAGTATTCTATTCTGGTGATTAAATAAGAATTTACAACGCTCCTCGGCGGTGGAGCATCGTTCGCAGCAGATCGCTCAAGATGAGATGAGCGACTGTATCGCTCGAGTCGCGAGGTATGATAATGCCTTCACGCTCGCAGAGAAGCGACCCTCCCGAAGTACGTAGCACCGAATGATCTTTAGAATCCATTGTAGCTTTCTGCAGTGAATATTGCAAGCCTCAAAATTATTCAATCAATTCTACTTGTTTATTCGTATGATACAAAAATAGGAGTTGATGACCAAACTGGAACAGGCATTGAAGTAATCTAGAGGGCTTCATCGCCTCCGCCTCCTTCCACCTCTCCAAACCTTCGGTTCAGCACACGACGCAGTGGCTGCGGGCCCTAATACGGTTACGTGGCCTTTCCAGTTACGCTGCGGCTCAAACCGATATTGGAGTGTTGCCAGCATTCTCCTACATAAACCCTTTGATAGTAAGGTATTTGCCTGTT